ACGGGGAGGGCTCCCTGTGTTCCTTGAGGGGCTGGGGCGCTGCCCGGGCCATGCCGCAGCCTCCTCGGCACCTTGCAGGGGGAAAAAAATACACTTTTCTGTTCTTAAGAAATAATTTCACACAGCCCCCTGAAAATAAATATAAATTATGTGAAAGATCTGCGGCCCTGCAGACTTAAGAGCCCTCTGACTTGCCCAGGCAGAGGGGCACTGGCCCAGCTTAATGGCCGGAGAGCGTGGCTGGAGGTCTGGAGAATGAGGTTGTGCCAGCGTGAAATGGAGATCAGAGTCGCTCGTCCGCCCTCAGATCCGGGGATGAAAAACCTCTTGTTGCAACAAAGGGCAGGATTTTGCCCTTTTGACTGTCGCCCTGAAGGATCTGACAGAAACTGCCCTATATTTCAAAGGACAGAGCTTAACAGGACAGGATAGGTCTGGAGCGCGGAGGAAGCCAGCGCCGGCCGTGGGATTGCTGTGGTGAGGAAGGGAATCCTTCCCGCAATCTCTGCGGTTGCTGGATTGTGAAAGCAGGAGCTGGTCCGGCAGATAAAAATGTTTGCAAACTGTTTATCAACATCAGTCTACTGTGATTGTGCCCCAAATTGGGGAAACGGACATAGGAGTAACCGGCGTTGGCTGGTTGTTTGCATAGTTAACTGACCTAGGTGTGTAATCACAGTCATTGCCTGGGTAATTGCGTGCCTAAGGTTTAAAAATTTCCTCCATTGTTTCCTTTCCCTCATCCCATATATTTTTTTTCATCTCTGGCTTTCAAGTAGGCAGACCTACCGTCGAAACCTCGGGGTTGCCTTTTAAGCCTACTCTCTATTCAAATCCATTTCTACAAGGTGCTTTTGATCTCTTGGATGTCCCCTCACAAAAAGTATTTTCCACTTTTTAATCTCTAATTTAAATAAACAGATGTTCTGTCGTGTGTTTTCCTCCTCTCCTACGTACCCTAAATACCTTTAGTTTTGAAAAGACGACGAATGAACCTGATTAATGAAAACGAGATATCTTTTAACTCCAGCATGTTTTTAATTGCCTCTTCATTTTATATTGCAACAGAGTCCAAGCAGCACCTTCCTAGAAAGAGCTCCATTAAAATGCAAATGAAGACTTTGCAGAAGTTGGCTGTTAATGCAACGCAGGACACGATTTCTTAGACTTGAGCAACACCGGATCGTCACCAGGCGGGGTTCCCCACTGTCACCCACCATCCCGTGTGTTTGCCTCATCGTACACACATTTCCCAGCCTCCATCACCTGTGAGGGAAGAACACCAGAACCAAACACCCAAAATCCCTTTTCTGCCCTAAATGCTCCAGCCGGTTTTCACACGAAGCGTATCCCCGCTGCGCCTGCAGGCGTTAAAATCCTTCTGTGCTTTAAATCTGTCTTTTTTATTATTATTATTGGAAGGGGAGAGGGGCTGATTGAAAACGGTGCTATATCTTTATGCAGATATATCTATTTTGCATAAAATCTATATTATACCTGGTAGCAGCTATAAGCACACCTGCCTTTCCTCACTCCTCCCTGTTTGAGACCCAGCTCCCCCTGTTATCCCAAAGCTCCTCAGGTTCGGCATGTACGTTCCCTTCCTCTCCTCCTACCCAGGGTTTCTTCCTCAGGTCTTTGTTGGGAAAAAAAAAAAAAAAAAAAAAAGAAAAAAAATAAGGAAAGGAAAAAAAAAAAAGAAAAAAATCAGTTGCTAGGCTACCACTTTTGAAAAAAAAAAAAAAAAAAAAAAAGTATTTATTTCTGTAGTATTTATTTGTGTGTCAGGCTGGGCTGACTCCCCCAGAGCAGCAGCAGCTGCAGCCTGGGCACTGCCCTGGGGAACGCGCTCCGAGAGGGGGAGGGCAGCAGCAGGCCGAGTTTCCCAAAGCCCTTCTGCACAAAGGATTTCAGGAGACTTCAAAAGGTTTAATATTCTTTTTGCCAATCACACTCCCCCCTCCTTTAACTAGAAGTTCGTATTGCGTTTTAGGTAAATGCTGCGGTTGTTGCCCTTAGAAGACAGCTGGTTTCTCCTCATAAAGAAGGAAAGGAGGTGTGTGGAAAAAAGAAGAGGATAGGAAAAAAAGCTGAGCTGGAGGAAAAATTGGGGTAGTTCATGTGGTTTGGGGTGTGCAAAGTGCAAAGAAGATGTGCAAAGGAGAGGTTAAGAGCGTCAGGATACACCTCTTCGGAGAAATGTCAGGGACACGACCGCGTGTTTCCAGCCCGAGCTGACATCCTTCGCACGCCACCACGTCACAGATGTCAGCAAGGCAGAGGTGGCCAGAGGTGAGGACTTTGTTCAAACTGCTGGTAGGTTTTAGCCACCAGGGAGACAGGTAAAAGTGATATTCCTGTGGCACAAGAGAGTTTGGAATCGTCCCGTCCCTTTCTTTACGAAGAGCATGGGAATGTGCCTCAGCCACCAGCACAGCCACGCCGAAGCCACATGCCAATGACTGGTGGCCAATCATTATCATTAGCTGTGCAAATTAAGGCTGCTCTGCGTCTCTGCACCTCCGTGATCGCTCACTAGACAATCTCAGAGACTATACCTGTGCTAATAAGCCGGCCCTCGTGTGCACCCTCCTCCCTCTGTCCCCTCTGCTGGGGTAAGGTGGGACTGGACCGGGGAACAGCAATAGAGGAAAGCTGCCCGGGTCACTGCCTTCACACCACAAAACCACCCGAAGCGTTCTCATTCCATCTCCTCTCTTCAGCTCTGCTCTACCTTATACTTACCTCACTTGTAGGAGATTTTTGCATTTGATAAATTAAAATGATTTCTTGCGTGTCCTTGTGATGTGGTCAGTTCGGAAGCATGTTGAGAAAACCCAAGTGGCCTAATTACTCTGGTTTTTTTCCCTTACAAAAGCTTTGTGCTCTGAAATAGAGGTGCAAAAAGATCTCCTGAGTGATCTCTGATCCATCAGCTTTGCTCGCAGTGGTCCCCCTTGTGTTTCCACGATCCGTACATGGATCTCCATCACCAACGCCTGTTCTTCCCTAACTACAGCAGGAAGAAAGCCCTTTTGCAGGGCTCTGCTCCTACCCCTCACGGCAGCTCGGAATCCCTGAAAGCCCTTCAGGGATCCTTCAGGACCACCAGCTTTGTCAGCCCCACTGAGAGCAGCTCGCTGCTGTCGGAGGAAAGGGTTAAGGGACCCACATTCCTGTCCCTTCTGCTCCGATCAAAGGTCAGGCGGTTCTTTAGGTGAAGGAAGGGAGGGAGGTGGTGCAGCCCTGACCAGGTCATTTGAGGAGTAAACCACATCTGAGCCGAGCTAATGAAGCAGTATTTGTCTCTCTCGAAGGCGCATACTCCCGGTCCACGGCCGGGGCAAGTTAGAATTCCTTCTCTAGTGGGAGTGAAGATGTCGATTGTATTTTTTCCATGATGTGTATTGAGGCATTTGCTAGGTTGTGGGAGTAAACACTTGGGGGAATTCTCCATGTGCTAGCAAGGGCAAGACACAAGCCTACTAAATATGGTGAATGAAGATTGCAAAAAAAAACCCCCTTGAGAATAAAACTCCCTCTTTCCGCCCCATCTTCCCTCCCCCCAACACCCCCCTACATATTTTTTCTCATTATCGTGCACTGCCGGGTAAATCCGTTGCCGTTTGTGGGACTAAACACATTGTGCTGCTTGAGTTTTTCTTTTCTGTATTGAAGGGCAGCGCTGGGGTGGTCCTTTGTGTCTTCCCTCCTCACCGAGACGCACCGCACCGTCCTGCTGGAGAAAGCAGAGACACCAAATACTCAACAGGGCGGGGGGGAGAGAGGGGGAACAGCAGGAAATGCTCTCAGGTCTGTAAATACTTGAGGGGGTGAGAGATGATGTTCATGTACAAAATATTTGACCAGCCGCATCCCACTGACCTCCTTTGGTGCTGCTCTTGAAAGGGATTGGCCGCAGCCAGAAACAGTTGATCTTTAATGCTCCAAAAATACATTCCCTTTCAAAGCCTCTCGAGTGGAGAAGCCTCCAGGCTGCCAAAGTCGGTCCCCACTCCCAGCTCCTCATGGCCCAGCTGAGCTCAGCCCCAGGGTGTTCACTCCGGTTCCTCCAAGGCTGTAGATGATGGTGGGGATGGAAGACAATGGGACCATGGCGTGTTGGGGTGGAGGACTGTGTGTAGGGGGGGACAGAAGCGAGCTCTGTCCCCAGACCTTCTCCTGGCTGCTCCATCCCATCTCTCGCCTGCTCTCCTCCCTGGGGTGGCCCAGCCACAGCCAAACCCTGGTTCTGCAGACCCCATCGGGAGCCTCCAGCCCACCTGGGGAGCCCGAGCTGACATCCTTCGCACGCCACCACGTCACAGATGTCAGCAAGGCAGAGGTGGCCAGAGGTGAGGACTTTGTTCAAACTGCTGGTAGGTTTTAGCCACCAGGGAGACAGGTAAAAGCGATATTCCTGTGGCACAAGAGAGTTTGGAATCGTCCCGTCCCTTTCTTTACGAAGAGCATG